ATAAATTCACACAAAGACATAAGATATATGAATCTCGAAGGTTACTTGCTAGGCTTATACCAAGAATAAATTCCCACGAAGTCGTAGTTTTTCCCCCAACTTAAAAATGGTTTGGAGCTCGGGTATAGAGCTTGAGATGAGAGATGTCTTTTTAAAACAGGTTGAAATCATTAGAAAACTCTTAGTCAAACTATTTATTTGAAAAATAACAATCAAAGGTAAATAATAATAATAAAAAAGATAAATTATAATCCAAACATACAACTTTCTCTTATGAAGAAAATCGGGAATCATTGACTCTCTTACTGTCCATAGCAGAGTCGCAAAGTTGTCGTAATCGTCCTTCGAGTGGTCTCGGGAATCATTGACTCTCTTACTGTCCATAGCAGAGTCACAAAGTTGTCGTAATCGTCCTTCGAGTGGTCTCGAAATTACGTTTTGACTTAAATTAGTGTGATAGAGCTGCCACCGATCATTTCAAGTTAGGTTGACTGGACACCTAAAATTTGTTATTTATCTTATCTACAAGTTACCAAAAATTAAACGGATTTGGGAATCGATTACAGTCAAGGAAGAATGACCACCCTTGCACTGCCCTTTTGGTACCAACATGATTGCCCGGTAATCTTAATCATGAAAATTGAAATTTAAAATAAATTTAAATGGTCGATCCAAATTACTTACCTTTGACAATTTTTTATGTTTTAAAATTGCCTAAAAATATACAATTAGTGTTAAATAGAAATAAATAAATAATAAAAATACTGCAAAACAAAAAATAATGGATTAGGGTACCAATTTATAAAAAATATAATAGTAAATTAAAAGGGCTAAATTGATTTAATTCAAAATTCAAAGGCAAAATGAACTACGCATCAAAACTTCCGGAACTGTGGAAATAATTTAATATTTTAGTAATTACATAGAGGTCCCCTATAAATAGCACAAAAATAACAAATTTCATTCATTTTCAACCATTTCTCAAAACCAAACTGACCCAAAACACTATCTTAACTATCTCAACTCTCTCCCCAACCGACCAAAAGCCGGCCACCCACCGACGAAGCCCTGCCGCCCGGACCGTCCCTCCGGCCACCGCAACCAGTGGTCGAAATCTTAAAAGCTAGACTAAATCACTCCTCTCAATACCCCGAAGCCAAACATGAACCCTAAATTTCTAAAACAAACCCCAAACAACGTTGATCTAAAAATAGACACTCGATTCTTATATTTTTTATGAGTCTCTTCAACTTACATTTCTTCATCCAAACAAAAAAGAGACTAAATCTTGTTATGATTTTTCCTTGTGGTTTGCGAGATGCTTTGTTCGATTTTGTTTAGTATTTCGATGCTTCTCCTCTCTATCTTTCTCTTATTCGATTTGCAGGTATATATAGCCCCTCGACGGGGGTGTTTCCCTCATCCTTGATTTGCTCGGGTTTGTTGTTGTTCATGTTGGCCCGGAATCACGGGAAAATATTTATTCCTGATTTTTTTCAATTTGATTCTGCTTCTTGTCTGTGTTGATTGTTGCTTCGGTCAGTGTTTTGGGAAGTTTTCCCCTTAAATCGCGATTGAGAAAATGTGGGAGTGATGTTCTGGTCGGCGCGTTGTCTTCACACGCCATCATTTTTCTTACTGGTGGTATTATGTCTTCTAGAATGTTTTGGGACTTTCCTGGCTGTTGGATTGGCTACATATCCAATGGCCCAAGATTGGTTGCGTAGATGTCTTATACTTTAGGGTTTAAAAACCCTAGCCACCTTTGATCTTGACCATTCATTTCCTTTTAATCGTGTGGTTCTATGTTATGCGACGCTTGACTTGAGTATGAAACCCTAACAGGCTCCTCTGCTGGGTCAGACAGGCGGGCATGTGTTTTGGACCTTGATTGGAGTTGGGCCACTGGAATTTTGGACTTTGGACATCATTTTGGATTTTTGGACCTTGATTGGAGTTGGGCCACTGGAATTTTGGACTTTGGACATCATTTTGGATTTGGAAAATAAATAATAATGTAAATTAAATAAAAGAAAAGAAAAAAGGGTAATATATATATTAAAATATATTTTTTAATATATATTATATTTTCAAAACCTGTATAATTTTAAAATTTATATATATTAAACATGTTTTTAAAAACTATATGTTTTAAAAAATATATATTAAATAATATACTATATATTATACCATATATATTTTCGAATAACCATATTTTCAAATATATGTGTGGTGTGTTAAAACTCAGAACAAAGTCTCGAGCGAGAATAAGTGTCTACAAAAATCAATAATTAATTGGTATAGAGGGATAAGACACTAGATTTTTTAAGCAACTTTAGAGGTTTGAATATTGATATTGTGAATGATGTAAATTTGGTTAGGACAATCATTCTCATAATAGGTCTCTACAGTACCCAATTTAGATTAATTGAATATTAGATCAAAAATTGGTGATTAAAAATATATATTCATATAATTTTTTATAAATTAATTGTTTATATTATTTTAGATATTAACATTTTGATGTACTTATCATGGTGTGTCTCTTCGTGTAGTGTTATACTCAGAGTTTTTTTTCATGTGGTGTTTATGATAGTGTGTAGGGTTAAATAAAATCCCCATGTTTGTTTTTCTTAAAATGATAGATTCTAAATAAATATTTGTTTTTTTTATATAATCCAAGGAAAATGTTAGCTTAAAGAAGAAATAATAAACTTCAAATTTAAAGTCAAGTTTTAGGTTAGAATTGGAAGCCCTATTGGTGTAGGAAAGATCATTGTCAATAAAGTCCATGCGTGCTTAAAAAGACCGGTCAGTGCCCTTCTTTTTCCAAACCTTATCACAACACTATGTCGAAAGAAACATATCATAGAGGATGACTATGATGAAATCCTCCCAGACTTGAAGGGAATCACAATAGACAATCTGTTAGTGTTGTTAGGGTTTGATGAGGATAAGCCTGAAGCCACTACTAGAACTATTGCAAGGGAAAATGTCGTAGCAAAATTGGTTGTTGTTGATGAGTCCTCAAGCCAGACGAGAGAACAATTGAATGCTTTATCGAGTGATCTCTGCATCTTCTTTGCTTATGTAAAGCAAAAATATGATGTCATTCAGCGTACTTCAAGGAATTGTTCCCCTATTGTTCCAAGATCTACCTTTTTTCCCTGAGTCCATCTTGACAGAATATGAAAATGCTTCAGCATTTCCTAATGCCTCGACGCCTAAACCACAAGATCGTATGATCAGACCAACCTGGAGTCTGAGGAAGAAGAGCCAAAATAAGACCCCCATCCACCAACTCAAGAGGAACCATAACAATCTCTGCCGACACTCACTACCACCGAGGAGCCCCATAGAGAGATGTCCGTGCAGCCCGAAATGCCACAACAATCCCCGGTGCGTCAAACCAAACGTAGCCTGAAGAGGTCCGTAGAACGTATGGAGAGCCCAAACTCTAAGGAACCCGCCCGAGTTCAAATCCCGTCTGTTGAGCCTGTTTCAGACTTGGAACTGAGGCTGTCCCCATTGAAGCGACGTACCACGCGCAGCACCGCACCACAGCACTACCACCACCACCATAGTAGTTAAGTCGTGATACCTTCCATTGCATTTCATACCATGTAGTTTAGTTTTTTACTTTACTTTATTTTGTTGCATTGAGGTCAATGCGCCCCTCAAGTTTTGGGGAGGTATTGTTTTTATTAGGTCATTTGCATGATAGAGTTAGCTGAATTATTTTACCATATCATTAGTAGGATTTAGCAGAGTTTGTTGGAATAAGTTGATGATTCCCGATGATGATATTTTAATTATGGCTAATGTGAACTGAATGTAAATGACTATGACTATGGAGTTGGATAGGATTTACTTTAGGACTTGGTTGTTTGTGCTCTTAATTGTTACACGACTTTATGTTCTCTATACTTAAGAATTTTAGAAAATTTTTATGGAACGAAAGCTTGAATGCCTTAGTTTGTATTAATGTGAATAAAATTATTTGTTTAAATTAAACTACCTTATGTTTGTGAATTATGTTTAATTGCGAATAAATGTTTTGGCATAATTATATAGGGACACTCCTCTTTGTCATGACATTGCCTAGATACTCAATTTTGATAAATGGCAGTCATAGGCATATGAGTGAATGAAAGTAGTTACGGGGTGACTCTGCCTGACTAGCTCGGGGATGTAATATATGCCCTCATTCATCTAGAGTGTGCGATGGTAGTTGTAACAAGCTAACTCCCCTCGTAGCAGTGTTTAAAAAATTAATTAATTAAGTGTTAAGTAAATGGGAATAATGAACTTGTGCTTAAATGTGAAAACATGCTATTGCAGAGTAGTAGACTTTCCTTAGAATTTTTCTAACTTGACTAAGCATAAATATACAGTCATCATGCACACACCCTCGCAAAAGACCTTGACCTAGGGCATTATTCTTGAAATCTCCACTTGTTTATCTTGTTGATGCCAAGACATTTCTAAAAGCTAAAACTCTAGTACACCTGACTGTCCTAAAACCGAACTCTGCCATGACTTTTTTCTTCTGTTAACTACAATCCATTGCTTGAGGAAAAGTAATAGCTTAGGTTTGGGGGTGTGATAACTACGTAAAAAAGACTATATTTAGGACATTTTCACTTAAGTTATTAGTCGTCTTAGAGCTCATATAGATTTATTTATGAGCATTTAATTGCATTGAGTGGTTTGGCTTTATTGTGGCATTTTTATTTGTAAATGGTGCTATATTACGGGGAAGGTTGTGCTCTTGCTGGTGATGTGCAGGTCGATGAAGTAGAGGGAGAACATGGAGGATTGTCGCAACATTCTAGATGGCGAGCGAGTAGAATTACCGAGGCAAAATGGGACAACCATTGTATGTAAAAAAAAGACAAAAGCAAAGAAGATATTTTCATGGGAGCTACCAGCTGTACACACTCATGTGTTCTTCCATTTTCGGATGAGGTGACAGAGGAGAGAGAGACATAAGGTGATGATACATCAAATGAACTCCATTCTCAATGTTTCTCAAGCAATTATTGATTGAGGACATTCAAGCACTTAAGTTTTCAAAATTTTGAATCAGATAGTCATACATGATCTTCCTAGTAATCTCCTCTTGATGTAGTGGCACGAGAGGTTCTTCCATTTTGTTGCCTTCTTCCGCAACGTCGTTCAAATGTTGTCTTTTGATAAGAACCTATTCACAATATTTGTCAACAAAATTTAATTCATAATTTATAAAAACAAGTATTTAAATATTTTAACATATAAAAAATATTTAATTTTAATTGATATAAACCTAATTTAAAATTTAAAATTTAAAAGTAAATGTTAACCTAATAAAATTTAATAATAGAATATGAGTAAATGTATCACGATATATTGTAAATGAAAAAAATGATGATGTTTTGTAAAAAAAAATTTATAAAATATATAATTATTTATTTGATTTTAAGTATAACTTAAATATTCTCATAAAATATCTCTTAAAAATTATTCTTTAATCCCAAATAAAAAACATATATATATATAATATATATATATATAATATATATATAAGCTAACACCTCATAGAGCCAAGAATTATTAAATTATGTCTTTGATTCCTATAATTTTCTTTTAAATTTGCTAAAAACGTATTTTGTTAAATGCACTATGCCACGTGTTCAAAAAGAACTTTTGAAAAATATGCTTCCAACATAAAGCACTTTTGACTTTCGTTGTAAAAACGGGTGCTAAATCGTAAATAATAGCCATTTTTAGAAGATTTTTGGATAAAATTGCGTTAACAGAGTATTCTAATTCATAATTAAAGAATTATCTCTCATTTTATTTTTTTTAGTCAGAATTAATACAAGAATCATAAACTTATATCACTAATTCATTACTTTGCAGACCACCAATCAAATCATTAGATAGAATTAGAATTCGACTATAACACACAAATACTTATCGCAACCATAGTCATCACGCACAAAACAGAGTTAAAAAAAGGCTCGCAGTAGACAACAAACCTAAAAATATAGCACCACTTTACCAAACGGGGTTTCAAATAGGCACGTACCGTTTGATCGTTTTTGCCAAGCCTTCACTCAAACGGTGCTTTCCTTCGGTCCAGGCCGGTACAAACACCAGCGTGATCCGTACCTTCAGATCAACATGACACCCTCGTCATCATCATTAAATCAGCGACTTAAAAAGGAACTTACCGAATGATTAGTCTTTCAAACCCATGAAATAAAACAAAAATCCGTCGTTAAAACCTTTCGTGTAAAACGTTTGAAACCGAGTTTAATCAAAAGACAAAGGGATGAAAACTGAAGAAGGGGATCCAAACCTACCTTGTGCAAGGCGAACAAAACTCAGAATCGGTTTAGATGGAGGAGATGTCGATTTTGATTCAGAGAAAAAAAAATAGAAGAGTTTACTGAGTTTGATTCTTGGGTTCTTCGAGAATGATGCGGAAATAATGGCTGAAAGGCTTCGGTAGATGATATTTTAGGTGTGGAAGAGTGCTATAAAGGTTTTGTGAGAGTAAAAACCTTGAGGGACAGAATTTTGGGGCCAAATTGGCGCAAAAAATTTAGCTTATTACCAAACATTTAAATTGGGATATACGGTAAATTAAACAGTCTTCATGGAACTCATCACGAATGAGATATAATTTTTTTAATGAATCATGTCAATTGGGATTCATAACATGATGAGTTTCATGAAATATAATTTTTTAATGGGTCGTGTCAGGTAAGCCTCACAATCTGATTAAAAAGGAAATTCTTAAAAGACTCATCACGTCGGCATAGATCTCTGTCGAAACCGTTTTTCGGTTGGGCCTCGGAATTGGGCTTCGACTTGAAATAATTGGGTTGGGAGTTTTCACCGACCATTTTAAAACAAGTTTAGGTGGGCCGGACACCATCTTACATGATCTGCGCTTTACTAGAAATATGTCGGGTTAGGGAGTCGGTTACAGCCAAGGAAGGATTAGCACCCTTGTATTGCCCTTTCATTTGTCGATTGTCTTTAATTGCGAAAATTAAAATTAAAATTTAAATTTAGAACGTTCGATTCAAATTAATTACCTTTGAATAGTTGTGGGCCTCGGAATTGGGCTTCGACTTAAATAATTGGGTTGGGAGTTCTCACCGACCATTTTAAAACAAGTTTAGGTGGGCCGGACACCATACATGATCTGCGCTTTACTAGAAATGTGTCGGGTTAGGGAGTCGGTTACAGCCAAGGAAGGATTAGCACCCTTGTATTGCCCTTTCATTTGTCGGTTGTCTTTAATTGCGAAAATTAAAATTAAAATTAAAATTTAGAACGTTCGATTCAAATTAATTACCTTTGATTAGTTGTAATTATTCTAAAAAAGATCGAAAATGTTTAAAAAAATAAATAAATCAAAAAAAATAAATAAAAATCAATGGTAAAATATAAATAAAAATCAAAGGAAAAAATATTAAATTTAAAAAATAATAAAGGGAAAAAATGAAATAGGACAAAAAATAAATAGAATAAAAGAAACGAAAAATATTAAATAAAAAAATAGTAACTTTTTAAAGTGGCAAAATGAAAAAATAACAGTAATAATAAATTTAAAACATAATAATAGAAAAAAAATGAAAATTTAAGGGACCAATTGAAACGATCACACTAATAGATAAAATGAAAAGCAAGAAAAAATAAAAGATATAAAATCTTTTCATGGGGATAAGCCTGTAACCAATTACTAGAAACTAAGACATCATAAAACCTTAAAAATATAAAAGTTTACAGAATTATAAAATTCCACAAACTTACACAACAAAAATATCAAGCATGGGCATGCCATCATGGAATCAACATTCTTAATTGCATGACACGAGTAACATATATTACAACAGAGAATGCAAGTATGCAACACTGTTACTAAAATAAATACGTGGAAGCAGACCAACTCCTACAAATTTAAAAGAGAAAGCAGAGCAGAATAAATGGAACTTTCAACATCAGTCTCATGCTTATAATTTGCTAGCAATGAAATATCATCAAATCCAAATCAGATGGACACCTCTCCCTTTTCACAAAACGACGACGTTCCTTTGTTGGTGCCCCCTTGAACGATTCGCATGTAAGCTTCTTTCTTCTCTGTTTCGTTACTGGAGATCTGGTTCGTTTTTTGGAATTGGGTTTCCGAGGATAATGAGGAAACCAACCAAGGAATCTGAGCTGAGCACCAAGCTAATCGGACAGAACCTGATAAAACTGATAAGCAATGTGTGTTTCCCCCGTCGTATATATTTTTCGTGTTCTCTCCCCCTGTTCGTGTGTGCGTGTTCATCTCTTTATAATACAAGAAAATGCCCTATTTTTAGCATTTGATTCCGAGTGAAACTCGGCTTGTTTGTTGATGAGAGTCCCGCTTGAACTGAAATTCGTTCCTTGGTTGTTTTTGTATCCCACATGCTCACGATGTTGTGGCTATTACCGAAGAAAACGGAGGTTGCGCGAGGATCGACAGTTTGACCAATCTGGGATGAAGGCATGCGGCGCTAGGGTTCTAGTCTTACACGTGTGGGGCTTGTTGGGTAGCCTTCTAGTTGGGTCTGCACACAAAACCGAACCCAAATAGAAGCATTATTATACCAATAATAATATTATACGGTTTAAGTAAAAAATGTATGTTATATAATAAAATGTTTATATTATATAATATACATAACATATTGTAATGGGGTCAGACGAAAATATGTGGCTACAATCTCAAATTAAATGTTTGCCCTAATGTGCTAAATTTTTTGACCGGCTGTCGTAATGGGCCAATTTGGTCGAATTTTGGGTTAAAATCAGGGATAGGAATCTGAGTTGAAACTCATTTTTAAAATTAAAAGGGTTAATTGCATGGATGATAACTTATCTTTATGTTTTAATCATTTTTTTATCACCGATTTCAAAAAACATAAGATACGATCAATTTTATTTTTATTTAATTAAGATATGGTCACCACCGAGCTAACTGTCGTTAACAACAGTTAAATATTTTGATATATTCATACATTTAGTCTATGTTATTTACATATTCTCTCAATTTAATCATATTTTTATAAATTAAAATAAATTATATATATTTTTAAATGAAAATGAAAATAACATATCTTTAAATTAAGTTAATAATAAAATATATTTAATAAGTTGATATAAAAATATTTTAAGTTAATATATATATAATTATATTATATATAACTCTGGTCAATGGTACACGATTCATAATTTTTTTTATTTTTTCTTTAAATTATATTATTTTAAAAAAATTATATAAAAATTCTAAAATTTAAAAGTCTATAATATATATAATTCACACATAAAGTTTAACATTATTGAAATAAAATTTATTAAAATTTAAAATAAAGAAATATAATTAAATTTCAAATGTTTTGTAGTTAAAATAAATATTTTAAAAATAATTTAGAACGTTAATGTGAAATAATTTAAGAAAATTTAGAATTTAGAATGCTATTGTGTCAAAATTTAAGAAATTAGGATTTTAGAATGTTAGAGTGAAATAATTTGAGGATTATGAATAAAAATGTAATATAAAATAAAAATAAAAAAAGTATATAATAAATCGAGCACCGTGACGGAGGGTACCAGGTTAACCAACGTTTTGGTACTCATGCTCGACCCAAAAACCAGGCCAAGTACCCGACTTGAAAAATCAGTATTTTTATTATATATACCCGATATTTTTAATAAGGTCAGCGGGTCGACGGGTCAGCTCAATCGAGTCGGGTATTTTTTAATAACCTTACTGGCATGACATGTGGCATCGTTCGATTGGAGGATTAAATTTATTTTAATTTATTAAAAGTATTACTAAATTGAGAGAATATGCAAATAATATAGACCAAATATGTGATTATATCCAAAATATTGAACTGTTATTAACGACAGTTAACTCGAGGTGACCACATCTTAATTAAATAAAAATAGAAGTGGTCATATCTTAATTAAATAAAAACAAAAGTGACTATATCTTATGTTTTTTGAAATCAATGATCAAAAGGTGACAAAACACAGATAAGTTACTATCCATGTAGTTAACCCAAATTTAAAAAAAAATTATACTTAAAAACCCTGCAATTTCAATCATTTTGAACTAAATCTCTTTCCATTAAAAATATGGATATTTGAGATTCAACCACAAAATTTGTGTTTTATTTTAGTTTGATCTGAGGATCAAAATTCTTTTACACACATGATTATTTATTTCTTTTAAAAGTCGAATTGATTTCAAAGATAGATTAATTCTTCACGGTAATCTATTTTATAGATTAATTCTTCACAGTAATCTATTTTAACTCATACATTTAATCTATAATTGGTGGTGTGAAAAACATAATTCTAAAATTAAATGTTTAATAGTAGTTTTTATCTTTTTCAGGTATATTCATAGATTATGTAAAATATATATATATATATATATATATATTATTTAGTAGATTGCAGTCAATGGTTAATTAGATAATAGATTAGGAAATAAATATTAAATTAGCGATGTAATGAAGGAAGTTTTAATAAGACCATAGGATTCAAAGATGGAGATTAGCGATATAATCCAATAAGTAGTTTATGGAGTTAGGGGGGAAGCTTTGAAATTAGAGGGAAAAAAATGCTCACCTACTTGTGAGATGAAAGGGTGGAATTTTGAAGTAACCCATTTTGCTTGGCGATTCCTAAATGAAATTGAAAAGAGCAATTTACTCGTTTCGATTGATGATGCAAAGGTCGTGATGGTGGTTTGGTCCTTTAATATATTCAAAGCCTCGGGCCTTGATAGATTACAACCTTTATTTATTTTATTTGCCCTCCCGATTCCAAAGTTTTATCTTGAGTAATTCATACTGACACGCGTTGCACACTTAATTTTGGTAGGTGAGTCTTCCAACAAATATTTTCTGCATATACAAGGACTCGAACTCGAGATCATACTTAAACGATATCAAATTGCTTATCACTTAAAACCAACACTATTGGTTAATTTTTTTAATTAGATGATTTATCACTTTTGTTTAAGCTTTGTATACGTTTTCTTATTGAATTTAAAAAACATAATACGTGGTTACATTCGTTTTTATTTAATTAAGATTTGGTCATTAAAGGTTAACTATTGTGACCTTTTAAAGATTGCTGACCTGAATTTATAAAGTTAAAATGGGTAAATTACACAAATAATCACTAATTTTTTAGTAAGTTTTATTTTTCTCAATTAAAGTTTCAAAAATAACAAATTGATCACTAAAACATAAAATAAGTCTTTGAACGATGAGTTTGTATCTAATCTATTCCAGAAGTTCTCTAATTTTTTTTCATCATTCGAAACATTTGACTATTACATGTCTAAAAAGGTTAATTTCTAAGTTTTACTTTTAAATTTAAAAAGTATATATATTAGAAAAATTAGAAAGCTTTTGGGGGTAAATTATATATAAAATCACTGCTCAAGGACCTATTAGATGTTCTAGCAACCAATTTGTTACTTTCAAACTTTATTGGGGGAAACGAAAACTTACTCAAACATTAGTGACCATTTGTGTAATTTATCCTTTTTGAATTTTATAAATTCACTGTGTCACGTCAACAATCCGTTAAATGTCTAACAACAGTTACCTCTATGTGACTACATCTTAATTGAATAAAAACAAAAATGATCAAATATTATACATTTTAAATTCAATGAGGAAAAGTGTATAAAACTTAAATGGAAGTTACCAATCACGTAGTTTATCCTTATTATTTTATATGTAGAATATTGGCCCAAGGCTAAAGAGAAAGTTTACCACATGGTTAAAGAAACGTTTTGGTCTTTGAAACTTCTAGAGAGTGGTTTTATCATGGGATGACAAATAGCGGACAATGCCATTAGAATGCAAGAATCAATATTCTTAGAATACACACATGCATCTACCACCATTAATAATAAGAATATTAGGGACAGTCTTACGAAATTCCATGTACCATATACATGCATCTCCATCATTTTTAGGCTTTTTATATGAAAATTATTTTTTTAATTATTCTCACTTATATTTTAGTTTGACTATGGGACCTTTTCGATTTTTTCTTGTTCGAATCTTTTTACTATTATTATTTTAAAGAACATCACTTAACTATAATTTTAAAAAATACATTTGATTTTTTTTTTTAAAAACATTGTTTGAAATTGTTGTTTATAATATTTAAAAATATCATTTTAATTATAATTAAAGGAAAAAAGATATATTAATTATTACTCATTGACTATTTATAATAGTTCAAAAAGTAATGATCATTTTATAATTTTTGAAAGTTAATATGCTAAAATGATTATTTTAACAAAAATTCAGTGACCTTTATTTTATCCTCTCTTTTTTCCTCCGAGACGTGGTGGTGAGATTGAGATTGAAATTCAAATCTTCCAACTTTCTTGTGTTAAGCATTTCAAAATAAAATACAATGAAATCTCAGCTTTTCTATGAGAATGTAGTATTCCTTCAACTATCTTGAAATATCTCTTCTTTTTCATTCTCAAGTATGAGAGGAGAAAACTCATTAGAGAACAGAGCCAAAGCATCATCGAAATTCGGTGATCAAAACCAAGCACCAAAATCTCT